GGCTCCTCACTCTCCCGCACCGGCGCCCACACCTCCGAGATCGGCACCAGCAGCTTTGGACCATGACGGGCATCCCACGGTGGAGTTCGCAACTCCACAGTCCAACGACGGGGACCGCGTCGATGTGTACCACGACGACGAGCCTCTGCGCTACCACACCTTGGACAACATCTTCGGTGATTAGCCCGTCATTGGATTGGCGATGCACGACTTCGAGGCGGAGCTACACCTTGCGCACGAGGATGGCAAGCCTTGCTCCTTCGCTGAGGCGGAGGGAGACTCGGCATGGCGTGCCGCAATGCAGCAGGAGATGGACACGGTCGAGCGGAACCAGACGTGGGAGTTGGCGGATCTTCGTGCCAGCCACCGTGCCATCACCCTTAAGTGGGTCTACAAGCTCAAGAAGGATGAGGCCGGGGCGGTGATCAAGCACAAGACGCGTCTAGTGGCACGCAGGTTCGTCCAGCAGGAGGGAGTCGACTTCGACGACGCCTTTGCGCTCGTCGCATGGATGGAGTCCGTTCGTCTCCTCCTCGCGCTGGCGGCCCAGGAGGGTTGGCGTGTGCACTACATGGACGTCAAGTTTGCCTTCCTCAACGGTGACATGAAGGAGGAGGTCTACGTCCACCAGACGCCGGGATTCGTCATCCCCGGCAAGGAGAACAAGGTTCTCCGCTTGCGCAAGGCCCTCTATGGCTTACGGTAGGCGCCTCGAGCTTGGAATGCCAAGGTGGACTCCACCCTCGAGCAAATGGGGTTCCAGCAGAGTCCTCACGAGGCTGCTGTCAACCGGCAGGGCAAGGGAGGCAATGCCCTGTTGGTAGGCGTCTACGTCGATGACTTGGTGATCACCGGCACCAAGAAGGCCGTGGTGGAGGTGTTCAAGGAGATGAAGGCAACCTTACAGATGAGCGATTTGGGCCTTCTGTCTTTCTACCTAGGGATCGAGGTCCACTAGGATAGCTTCGGCATCTCCCTTCGCCAGACCGCCTACGCCAACCGCATCGTCGAGTTGGGCGGGCTCACCGGTTGCAACCCAGCCCACATTCCCATGGAGGAGAGGCTGAAGCTGAGCCGCGATAGCACGGCGAAGGAGGTCGACGCCACGCTGTACCGGCGCATTGTGGGCAGCCTTCGCTACCTAGTGCACACGCAGCCGGACCAGGCGTTCACCGTTGGCTACGTCAATTGGTTCATGCAGCGACCGACGACGGAGCACGAGCAGGCCGTCAAGAGGATCCTCCGCTACGTCGCGGGCACCTCCGACTACGGCTTGCACTACCCGAGGTGTCCCGGCACGGAGCACTTCAGGTACAACGACAGTGACCTTGTCGGCGACATCGACACAAGCAAGAGCACCAGCGGGACATTGTTCTTCCTCAGCAAGTGTCTGATCAGCTGGCAGTCGGTCAAGCAGCAAGTGGTGGCTTTGTCCAGTTGCGAGCCGGAGTACATCGCTGCCACTGCTGCTTCGACTCAAGCTCTCTGGTTGGCTCGGTTGGTGGGCGATCTCTTGGGCAGAGACGCAGAAGCAGTGGAGCTCAGGGTGGATAGCAAGTCTGCCTTGGCCTTGGCGAAGAACCCCGTCTTCCATGAGCGCAGCAAGCATATCCGAATCAAGTACCACTTCATTAGGAGCTGCTTGGATGAGGGGAGCATCAAGGCTGGCAACATTAACACCCAGGACCAGCTCGCCGACCTTCTCACCAAGTCCCCTGGGCGGGTCAAGTTCCAGGAGCTTCGCGTCAGGATTGGGATGGTTCAAATTTCCCAGAAGGCGCCACACAAGACTTAGGGGGAGAATGACAGCTATAAGTCTTGTGCTTATCTACCTAGGATACTTATCTAGAGTAGTTGGTGGTTGTGTCAGCTCTTATCTTTATCCTTATCTTGCTTTAGCATCTACTTTAGCATCTCTCGAATATGCTGTAATCCTTTCTTAAGGACCAAGTATGCTACCCTATATGTATCATCAACCTGCCATGGTTTGTGGTAAGGCTAATGAAACTGAAATCTAGCTCCAAACCTATGATTTGGCTCCAACACGACCAACCTTATTGTCTTCTACATTTCTATTCTTTTTACTTGCTTGTTGTAGCTACACTACCTTATATGCTTTACCTTTGCATGTGGCAAAATATGCTTGAAAAATGCAAGTAAGAAAAACACTAACAAATTTGTATACAATTTACCTTCAATGTTAATACTTTCATCCTTTTCTAGAAATTGAGACAATTAAACTTGTTCGTTCATTTTTCTCAGACAAGACCCTGATAAAGGTATTTAGAGATTCACTTCCCAACGAGAGATAATATCATTCAATTGGCTAGAAAATGTTTTGAGCATAGTACCTCTACAATTTTGTTTTAACAATATTTCTCTGAAAAGATGGATGATTTACTTGTGAAGGCATGTTAGTCTCAAATGCATCATCTATACTCTGTTGAAACTCATTCTTCAGTAATAATCTTAGCTTTCAAATCTTGTTCCATTCGAATAAAGCATCTGATTTATAGCTTATGAAGCAGTTGGTGAACTAAATCCTAATGCATTGAATTGTATTCCTAGTTTCCCATATCACTGTCGAAGCCCTCCAAACTTACCGTGGCTCTCTTGTTTGTGCAGGTTTCAACTCGGAGTGACAGAAGACTCCACAGGAAGATGAAAATACTATCACTTAACTACTATATATTATTCCACTAAATAATGCCGAACTCAGTCATGGGAAGTACCATAGTATTAATGATTATGTTGTATGTCTGTTCACTCCTACTTCTAGGATGTTGATTACTCCTACGGGACCATACTTGGTTTCAACTCTAGGAATCATCATATTATCTTCATTGTTGTCAGGTTATAGGATAGCAGCTCTGGAAACGGTCAGATGCTATTGCATTTTAACTTTCCTTGGTAGAGTTAGGGTTAAAGCCATGTTATTATTATATATTGTATAAAATGGTAATGTATACTGTTTAGTAGTACTTGGTAGACGAATCTACCAGTCTTTGTTCCCATATATATACCAAAACATCAATCTCACCAGGCCATGTCATTGCTTCCCTGTGGCCTTTGGTTTGGCATGTGTTGCCTATCTGTGCTTGCTGGCTGTTTCTCCAACCGAAGCTGAACAACGATAATCCGTCTTTTTCAGCTTGTTTTTTCAATCAAAATAGTATTTTTTTTTCACAACAAATTAGCTGAAACAGTGTTTGGGTTTGTTTTTTCAGCGAAGCGAACAGGGCCTTTCTGGTTGCCACCGTACCACAGCCTACTCGCTGTTGCCGCCGGCTGCTTGCGCCTCAGCCAAGTGATGCCGTCATGGACAAAACTCTGTCGCCGCCTACAGGCCTCAGTCACCATCGTTCTTGGTATGCACACACGGCACGGCTGAAACTGCTGCGATCCTCGTGTTTTTTCTCAGATGTAGGCGAAATATAGAAGCTGTTTCAGATTCTGTCAGATACCATATTATTCTTAAGACAGAATATAAAAGCGCCAGAAGCTATGCTTTCATATGCAGAATAGATTTGAAAAAATATGTCTCCTGACGTGTAGTTAAAACCAATCTGGTGCTTTAATTTCGCGTGCACAACAGGAGGTCAGGACTTTTGGAGTCCTTGTAACTTGCCGAGTTGGGGCAAGCTTAGCATCGCCATTGGACGGCTCTGACTTCTCAACTCTGGTTGCCCGCGATTCTGAACGACTGAACCTCCTCGACGTCTCCGTTTTTATTTATATGTCGTATTAGTTTTGTCTTAAATCAAACATTTGTAACTTTGACAATCAGTTTTGAAAAAAAATATATAGTTCAATGACACAAGATTTATGTTTTTAGTTAACTATGAGAAATACTTTCATGACTATAAGGATTTTTTGAAATGGATTATTAAAACAGTAATGTTTGACTTAGGATGAAGCTAATATGACATGTAAAAAACAGAGAGAGTACTAGCGAGTGCCTAGCCACCACCTTAGAGACACACGAGTTAGTGTGGCACATTGATATTCTCTTCCAAATTACAGATCATTCTCTTTAACTTTGACTAAATTTTTTAGAAAAATAAACTAGCATCAATAAGTTCAAATAAATGCATATAAATATTCTAATGAAACTAATTTGATGTCGGTGTATTATAAATATTCATGTTTTAGTGGATATAAATTCGGATAATTTAGACTTTGATCCATTTTCCGCTCTTATGGACGAAGGATTAGAAAAAGGGACTATTATTGAGTGTGGGCTTAGTCAACTTCATTTGCATTTGAAAAAAAACCATTGTCATGAAAAGAAAATGACTAAAGGATTTTACAAAGAAATAAAAAACAACGATCACTGTATATATGACAGACACTGCAATGAGACGATCGATTCTGAATGAAGTTTCAATCAGTACTGAATCCTTTGCATAATCGCGACGACAAAAGTGCATCCATATGGGCCCTCTGTCAGCGACAGCGCTACACTTTCACTACGTCCCTTCTCAAGATCCCAAGCCATCCAACACAAAGGGCAAGGGCCCCATGTATTCATGAGGGTCCCTCCAAGCATATCCTTACAAGTCAATCCATATCTTAATAACGTTGCCACGTCCACATCATCTCAACAACCTGTCCAAAACAACCCAAACCCCCCCAAATTGTTTGTTTGGTGAGTTTTGTCCAAACACCCAACCCAACCTCCTCTTGACAACCACACATGCATGCCAAGACCAAGGAATGTACAAGGACAAGCAAAGCAAGCTATGTCAGGTGCAGAGTTAGAATAGCATGCCACTCCTCTTGCTTCACTCCTCAACTTCCTTCCTCCTCCTTCCCCTTTGAAATGATCTTCCCTACTCTTCCAAGAAACCTAACCACCACCATTTGCAAACATCCATGCAGCTGCCCAATAGCCCTTGCTGGATTTCAGCTGCTCTCAGCCTCTCACATGAACAAGTGCACATGGATATATAGATATATATCCGTCGAAGGATTAGCCTTGCAAACAGTGGTATTTGGCCATGCATAAGCACGGGCAATTGGGCATGGGCATGAGGATAAGGTGCCGCCTCAGGCCGAGCAGTCGCCGGCGATGTCGACTTCTCGGCGGCGACACGGCCGCCTTCTGCGCCTCGCTCGTCGAGGGGCTGGCGCACCTCGAGAGCACGCTGGAGGTTGATCATCAGTCGGGGACGGTGTCCATGCGGTGGTGCGCGGACGCCATGAGGCTCGTCAAGCGGATGCAGCGCGAGATGCTGGCCATCTTCAGGAAGGCCGACGTGCCGGTGGCCGTCTCCTCGTCCGGCGGCGGTGCCGCCGGGGACTGGTTCGAGCACTACATGCAGGAGACGGAGGCGCTGCTCGACTTCTGCAACGCGTTCAAGGCCGCCGTGTCGCGGATGCACCGCTACTGCATGGTCGTCGACTTCGCCGCGCAGGTCATCGTCGGCCGCGGTCGCGACGGCGGCGCCGGCGCAGCTGCCTCGCTCGTCGTGGAGAGCGCTGCCGAGCCCGAGCCGTGCCAGGCCCAGCCGTCGTCGGCCGCGTTCCGCGACAATATGGCGGACGCGAAGGCGGCGGTGGCCGAGGCGGAGCGGCTGGGGAGGGCGATCATCATCTCCGGCGGCGGCGGGGACGACGCTGGCAGCATGGTCGTCGTCACGCTCGTCGCCAAGATCACGACGTCCGTCCTGTCCATGTTCGTGCTCCAGGCTCTGACCGCCCCACCAGCCGCCGTCGACAACTGCGGCGTCCGGCCCACGATCACCGCCTCCGCCGTCGACGTCGACGTCTTCCCGCCTGAGCTGGAGCCGTGGTGCGAATCGCTGTCGTTGATCCACGCCCGGTTCCCGAGCCCTGCGGCCGTGGCAGAGCACGAGAAGGTCGCCACGGCGGTGCGAGACCTCGTCAGTGGCAAGGTGGACGGCGGAGGCCGCGGCGAACAGCAGCAGGAAGAGCTGTTGAGGGCACGGTCAGGTGAGCTCAGGGAAGGCGTGGAGATGTTCGACTGTGTTCTTGACGAAGTATTTGATGAGGTGATCAGGGGAAGGAATGAGATGCTGGGGATCCTCAGAGACAAGGCTCTAACCTGACCATGAGGTGAGTTTTAGATTAGCCTCTGGATCAATCCATTAATTGACCTTGTGCAGGCTGGAGGTCTTCAGAATTAACGCTGGCCGGGCTTTATGCTGATTTCTGTTTGATTAGTTGGATTTGTTTTGCAAGTGGTGTAGAAATGTAAAAAATCTTTAGTGTTGACATATGTATGTAGATGTGCAGATTTGTTTTCATTTCCTTTGGTTTGTAATTTAACTTGTATTGACATCTGTCAGAAGTGAAATTATTTTGCATGTTCTACTGAATACTTCGTAGAATCCATTCCCGGGACCAACTAGGTAGGCAATAGAACCTACATGTCATCGAGACAATCAATGGCATACAACAGGTTGCTATGTGAAAAATTACTTAGCAATTCATTTATTTATTCCACATAATGTAAATGTTGCTAATTAGGTAAACACACATGGCTATATTTCATACACAAGGTTGCTCAGTGAAAAGTGGTTCAGAGATCAAAACGTACACGAGAGGTTTGGAAATTTGAAGAAAAAAAAAAAGAAGGCCAAAAATCGGTGACTCTATCCTGGAGGAAATTACATACTGCAGTTTCCTATTGTATGGTACATTTCAGTAAGACCACAGAGAATTGCAGGAGAATCATGGCCTCACTACAGAGTCCTACAGTGGTGTGGTAATAATAATACATTGTACATGGACAATCTGGGAAGTCCATGCCCAGCCATAACTTCCCCATATTATCCAAAGAATAAACAGAGCTTTACGGAGGATAAAGAAAAACCAAACAGCTAGAAACTCCTAATCCGCCTTTGTCAACTGCAAAAAATGAAAGGCGGGAACTGGTCTGCAGGACTGAAGAGTAACAAGGGTAAGATGACTTGCATTATATAAAGTATGAACACCTCGACAGGGGCATAAAGTTTCAATGGACAGTCTTGTGGATAGCTGAGCTATATCAAAAATACAATCCCTGATCTCTCTCTTCTGCCCCCCATCACTTGGAAGGATGTGTCATCTTGTTAGTTGTGCACCACTGTGTCTCTCTTCTGATCGATGATGGAATAGCTTCGCTATTGATCGCCTCTCACAATCCTGAAAAATTGCAGAATAACAAAACAAATTCTCGAACATCATCATCAATTAAATTCAAAATGATTAAGGCTTGCAATTTTCAAACTAGCTACTTTGGACAACTGTACCCACCTTAAACATGTTGAGACGAAATGGTCTGTCAGGATTTATCCTTCTTAGTTTTAAGTATGTATATGCAAAGCTGAGCTGATCACGGGGTGTGAAACGATCAACCTCATTGTACCACAGGCAAGAGAATAGGTTGGACATTGGTGTGTGTTCTCTCACGATAAAAGATCCTTCAGGGACATCTGTAGAAAGTGTAAATTGTTAGGTCCACAGAACTCATACAGTAGTATATTAATACTAGCAGGTAAAAGAGCATACAGCTTGGTAGCAGCTTGTTAGGATCTGATGGGTTGAACTTTGTCAGTCCATCCGCTTGGTAAAACTCAAATTGCTGATCAATTATTGTATGATTGAACTTGTTCAACTTTTTATTTTGTGCTACTTCCTCCCAGACACAATGCCGATCATAGTGATTGGAAATAGCATATTCATAACCATGCCGCCAGAGAAAATACTCTAGGATAAGAATAGGATCAGTTTGTAGTCTCAGTTTGCTGTCTAACCAGATTGAGAACCTGATACAAGTAGCGATATTGTTACAGGTGGTATGTAAAAATAAATAAAATTAAAGAACAGATATAAGGGATCCTTGCAGGATGCAGAATTGAGCACAAGGTCTTCTATCTGAATGAGCACACTGGTACTTCCATAAAGTGAATATGTAAATTTACTCATATTTGCAGCAAAATATATAAAAAAGCTTGTTGCATGTTTCTCTAAATCTCATACAATATTCATAAACATTTAGAGTTTTGAGTTTAAATATCCTAACAGTTAAATCAAGAAGATTTCTTTATAAACTTATTACTTGGATCAAATCAAAACCAGTATATATGTGTGTGCAAAAGAAAAAAAAATGTTGCCTGTGGATTGTAATGCAATTGGACAATATAGCATACCAGCAACAAACAAATCTTAAAAATGTATACATCCAGATGAGGTTAACAGACCTAGAAAGTGATAACAGTAACAGTGATAAGCTGACAACTCAGGAAAGAATGGATTACTACTTCGAGATATCAGTGATGCAGACAAGCATGTAGAGCCATGTGATGAGTTCCAGGAAGTGGGACTGTTGGAATGTGTAATGTGCACTGCAAGCAGAGAGGTGGTCCCAGAGAAAGGCAAGGGGTTGCAAAACACCTTTGTTTGTTCTCTTGAAAAGATGACATGAATGCACATAAGAAATAACCGTACTGAAAAGGTGTGTTGACCAAAAGGTAAACTTCTTTTCAAGAGTATACAAGGTCAAATTTTGAGAAACTCACTAAAATAGAATACTTAAAGAAAAAGACTACAAAGAAATTCACTATAATCAGACATGCACTGTCATAGAGAAATTCACTCTTACCTCGATGATGGGAATAGCCTGTGTGCTAAAAATTTTGGTATTTTCCCCACTCTACGCGTGTCATTATACGGCATATTCTTAATCAATATGATCTTCCATATACCAATGAAACCCATGCTGTCCATTTTCTGGCCTTCAGATTCTAATGTTTGCAATGTCACTTCATCCAAAAACATAGCAAAGCAAACTGTCTTCTTTGAGAGGCTTGTAATCTGCGAAGTGTAATAAGACATTTCTAAGAGATGTTACAGGATCTACATGTCATGTAATAAATCCTCAAACAGCAACTTCAGAAGCATCTTAAAATTTATGGCAACGGCGGTCTCCTCGCATTGCACAGGCGAGGGTAAGGCTTGCCACTGACACGGTGACACTTTTTCCTAGACCCCCGCTTGAGCGGGAACTCTCTCTGCACTGGAATGCGCCCATTGGAACGATGCAAAGGAAAGATCAACAGCTATTTAACTTAGTACATATTAGAGAATGTGGTTATGGTGTAAAAAATGCAAAAGGATGTTGATAGTGTATTATATATCCATATTAAAAGACTTAATGACAGGTGTAATCAGCGCAGTATTATAAGAGAAGTTGCATTTCGCAGCCCTAGTATCTCTATAGCGCACGTTCCTTATGTGTTCCTCTGAAAATAGAAAGCAATAGAAGTTCACCGTAAAGTGAGTGGACTAGGATATAACTATGTGAGACAAGACATAACAAAATGATGATCATTTAACCTGCCAAAATATACTACAGAACCTAGAAAAAATCGATATAAGTTGCCGAATGCAATGTAAGCAGGACACAGGAAGCATAACAAATTTATTCAAGAATTTAGCATCCAGGAAAATATCATACCGTTTTGCCAAATGGGGTCCTCAGTCGATCAGAATTTCCAAAGATGCAGGATGATACAGCAATGTGGCATTTACTCATGTACTTTCGGTCATCATCAGATAAATCAAAACCAGTGCTTGTACCATTTGGACCCTTAACAAAAGCACATTTCAACTGTTGGTCATGGGCTTTGTATGACTCCTCTCTTTCTTGCAGACTTTGGTGGCCGGCAAATCTCGGTTCCCAATATTCTGATCCAATAGGTCTTTCTTCAACTTCTACATACTCCAAATTAAAACTAGCGAATTTCTCATTTCTTGCAGGCTCCACAAGTTGAGCAGTTGAGTTGAGAAACTTCATTTCACAAGTTGAACCTGTTAAATTTATCCCAACTTATTAGACAACCATCTGAAAAAATATGCTACTCGCTCATGTGACAAAAAGTGAAGTTTTAAGTCATGGCAATCAAACTATCCAAAACTTGACCATCAACATTTTTTTACAAATTTATGTTGAACATGTAGATTTGTGTTGAAAAGTAGTTTCATAATGTCTTATATGCATATATACTTCATATATGTGAAAAGTACATTTTCAAGACTATGACGATGTTGAAGGCAAACTGTCTTTTGTCATTGGAGGAACTGATTATTTCCCTTATCAAATGTTGAAATCATATTCATACACCTCAAAATGAAGCTCACTATTAATGATTTCAAATCGACTTGCATGAACTATTAAGGAAAAAAGCATCATGACATTGCCATGCTGCAAACATGTCACATAACAGCAGTCCCATGCATGTAAATAGTTAGCTAGAGAATCGGGAGCTGCAGAGGTTTAGAGAATCAGGCCTGGTTTCCCTTATAAACTAGGTCAATTCTATCCTTCTTGATTGAAAGGCAAAGCTCCTGCCACTACATTCAAAAAAAGTTTTCACGCAGTTATTGGGTTCCAAATCCAAGAGCAAATCACGAACATGTTGTGACACCATAATACTAGTTGGCAGTCCAACACCAGGGGTCCAATATTCAAGTCATGCTATCCGAGTTGCAAGACACATCCTCACCAGGTACAATAGGCATGTTGTTCAGGCTCTAAGATGCTGGTAATTACTAGGTGCCGCAGCACCTGTTAGAGGAAGAAGAATTTGTGTTTCTAAACAAAATAGTGATCTTATGAGTCAGTACAGCTAAAATCAAATATGAAACAAAATTTTAACTTCATTTACAACATAGAATTACCAATTAGCTACAGAACAATAGTAGAGCAAAAAAAGAAAAAAAATGCAGAGTTTTTGAGTTATCCCAAGCTACTGCCTCACTGGAATCAAAATTTCTAAGAAGTTAAACTATTACATAAGGATTCAGAATTTTCAAATTGCAAGCAACTTCAAAGAGGCAAGCAACTTACCAGACTTCTTACGTTTCGGTTTCTTCTTGGACACGTGCTTCTTATCTCCAGTACCTGAAACCTTCTTTTTGTCTGGGCTACTAATATCATGACTACCAGCGATCCCTCCACCTGCTTCTGTGTGCCTCTCAGTGGCGACCTCGTCCTTCTTCTCAGCACTCTCATGGCTGCCACCACCAAGCTTCCTCCCACCATCAGATGAATGCAGGTGAGCATCCTCCAGATCATCCTGCGCATCGATGCCATCATCATACTCATCATCTGGATCAACCTCCCTCACCCCTGTCCCTGTGCCTCCCATGGCTGCAGCCTCATACTGCTCCAACTCCTTCCTGCCACCCTCATTGTACAAGGTCCCTCCTTTCCCACCTTCAGATGCCTCTGGAACATCCTTAGCGCCACCGCCAGTCTCTAGAGTCAATCCTTTATCCTCACGACCTGCCTCAGAGGTGGTACCTTTGTCGCCGCTGCTGCCAGCATCGGCAGAGGTCCCACTTCCACCGAGATCTTCTCCTTCTCGTCCTCCGTGTAGTCCTCGTCGCGGCGCCTATCGTCCCGGTCCCAGTACCTGGAGTCCCGCGCGCTCCGGCCGCCCCCGCCGTGCCCGAACTTGAGCTCCTTCCAGCTCTTGCTCTGGTTCCACTCCGGCAACGCCTCCCCGGCGCTCGAATCTTGGCTGATCTCTACGAAATCACAGAGACGACAAGGCAACCAAGCGGAGAAATTTTCAAATCAAGCGCGCAATGGGAGCTTCAACCAAACATGAAACTGGATCGACAACTCTCGGGCGGCACCGAATCGCGCCACAGAAGAGCCCGGACGCGCCAAATATGCGATCTTTTTATATAGGGGAGAAAAGCGAGAGGAATAAGGCCAACGGGCGCGAGGAACCCAACCTGCGGGGCTGCGCGAGATGCGGCGCGAGAGGAGGAAGACGGCGGCGAGGAGGAGGAGCGCGGCGGCGACGGCAGCGGCAGCCGCCGGCGAGCGGCGGCGCGGCGCGGGCTTCCCGGGGCGGCGGATCCGGGAGGAGGGCTTGGCGGAGGCGTGGTGGGGCCGGTGCCAGTCCGGGAGCGCCTGGTGGTTGTGGTGGCCGCGGGAGTCGGAGAAGCCGCCGCCGTACTGCTGCCTGAACTGCGCCATTAGAGGCCCCCTCGGCGGAGGTGGCGGTCGACGGCCACCAGCACCATGAACGGAGAGGAGGGGGAACGGGAAGCAAGGGGCTTTCTTGTAATTCCGACGGGGATTGGTTGGAGAGGGTTGGTTAATTGCACGTGATGATGGTGAGGATTAGGAGCGGCGGCGAATGACTATTGGAGTCACCGTCGATGGTCATATGGGGGTTTGGTGAGATGGGAAGACATGCGAGCCGACATGCTAGTACTACATTACATACTGTAAATCGCATTACCGCGATAGCAATGCTCAATTACAGACAGTATATATTGGTTTAAGCCACGAAGAATTTGTGCTAATGATAGTCTCAGCCTAAAAACTATGACATGATTTCTATACTCAGTCAAGTTAAAACTATAAAAGAACGCATATTTTTAATAAATAGTTTTCTTTAAAATAGAATTTTATCTAATCGTATCTCTTCTTTCTCCTATCATCCAGCTATCACATCTTTTTCTTATCTTGTTTTGTAGGCATAATTTTTATAAGAAATTATTTTCTTCTCTCTCTTCCTTAATTCCAATATCGCATCGTTATTTTGTTTAGTTGGCACCCTAATTAATATACGTAGAAACCGTAAGGAAAATGGACCCTACGCTCATTTACTTTGGATTTTGGTGCTTGATGACCAACACCAAGGTTCAAAATTTCGGCCGAATTTCGCGACATTCGGTAATTTCAGTGGTGGCCGAAAGAAAATTCCGAATTTTTTAATACACTAATACATATACTATATAACTCTAGACTCATATTTTCTATTATTTATATTACATATTCTTCTATTCAAAAGATGTGTAGCCATAAATCATACTAATATTTGTTTAGATCTACATTTTTTTAGAAAAAGCATGCTTCATGTGCTAGTCTCTAAAAAAAATTTCGCCGAAATTTCGGCCGAATTTCGTAAAATTCGGTAATTTCGGTGGTGGCCGAAATTTTTGCAGTACCGAAATTAAAAACCCTGATCAACACAACCAAATTGGACTAATGAATTTGCAAGTGATTGTTTTATAGTTCAATAGGATGCAAGACGTGACTTGGACAAAGGCGACATGATGATCCGATGATCAACACCTCAAGCAAGACCTTAGGAGCACAAGAGAAGACCCAAGATATCAAGCAAAGTCAAAGCATGAAGATAGCAACCAAGATACACGTAAGATCACGGAGAAACGAGCTCACAACAGCCACTGGACGCTGGACCGGACGATGACGAAAAGCGACCGGACGCTCCGATCAGAGGCTCGGCAATAGCAGCAGCGACCGGACGCTGGACCGAACGCTGGCGGCAAACCGACCGGACGTAGGACAACAGCGTCCGATCGAGTACAGAGAGGTTCCAGAGCGACGAACTTGCGACCGGACGCTGGCAGCATCTGATTAGTTGTTCGCGGCTTGAACGGTCGGGACGACCGGACGCGTCCGGTCAGGACGTGATCAGCGTCCGGTCAGTAGCAGAAAAGCAGGATTTCGTCTCCAACGGCTACTTTCTCATCAGGGCTTATAAATACAACCCCAACCGGCAAAATGGGTGTGTGGAGCTAAGAAAACATATCAAATGTGTTGATACACTATTTTAATGATCTCCACTTGCATAGTGCTTAGTGATTCATTAAGTGATTAGCGTAGGTGCTTTGTGAAGTACTTAGTTTGATTAGACCACCGCTTATGCGCTTGCTCTAGGTTTAGACCTAGTGTTTAGTGATGTTTGCATATCTCCTACCACTCGGTGTTTGCGCGCATCATTATTGTACATCGGAGGGGCTTCTAGTCTTGCGAGATCACACCAACCGCGTTTGTGGTGTGGCCGCCACCGTGTACCGGAGGGAACAAGGCCCGCGACGTTTTGGCCAGAAGCTTGTTAGTGAAGACGGCGGAGAGCATCCAGGAGAGCCTTGCCGGAAGGCACGTCGGCGACCCACTTGCGTGTGGGGAAGGCCCGAGGCTATCCATAGAGTTACCCGACCGGGAGCTTGGCCCTTGTGAGGGGCTCCAACGAGGACTAGAGGAAGCTTGCACGCTTCTCGATACCTTGGTAAAAATACCGGAGTCGTCGACGGGAGTTTGCATATCTCTACCTTGCTCTTTAGCTTCCGCATTTACATTGATTACATTACTCTTTTTGCGGTAGAGATAGCAACACATTAGCAAAATCGTAGTTGCACATTTAGATAGTTTATCTTTTACATAGGTTTTGCTAAGGGTAGAAAAAGATGCCATAGTTTAGAGTTAGAATTTTAAATTGCCTAATTCACTCCCCTCTCTTAGGCGTCACGGTCCACTTCAATTGGTATCAGAGCCGGTTGGCTCAATTTTGACCTTTGGCTTAACTGGCTTAACCGCCGTTGAGCCGACGCTATTTAGAGTTATTGGGATGAATACCTTTAGGCCTCCGCACTTTGACGGCACTAACTTCTTTTATTATAAAGCTATAATGGCTTGCTACATTGAGGCGATTGATTTGGGTGTTTGGAGAGTCACTCGTGACGGGATAAAACCCATTAAGAATCCCAAAAACCCCACAAAGAGTGATGAAAAAGAAATACATTTCAATGCTAGAGCTAAGAATTGATTGTTTGAATCTTTTAGTATGGATGTGTTTAACCAAGTGTTCACTTTAAATACGGCACATGAAATTTGGTTAAAAGTTCAAGAGCTCCATGACGGCACAAGTAATGTCCGTGAGCAAAAACATTATCTAGCTAAGCAAAATTATGATTTATTTACAATGAATGATGATGAGCTTGTTCATGATATGTATTCTTGTTTGAACCTAATTATTAATGAGCTACATTCTATAGGATTAACAAAGCTAGATGATGCGGACATCGTGAGAAAGATCATCTCCATGCTACCACAAAAGAAATATGCAAGCATCATCACCATTCTTCACAACATATAGAACTTGAGCACCATGACCCCATGCATAGTCATTGGCAAGATAGTGGCATTTGAAATCTCACGTAAGATGGGTCAAGAAGAAGCCTCTTCATCGAGCAAAGGCAAAGCTCTCGCATGTAGCGAGAAAAAGAAGATAAAGGACAAGCAAGTTGAGACAAGCTCAAGCTCAAGCTCCTCAAGTGAAGATGAAGAAGAAAATGAGGATGATGATGATAAAGAAGAAGGTTCAAGTGATGATGATCAATCTTCCTCCTCCACCTCCGACCTTGATAAAGAATCAATCAAACTTTATCAACAAGGTGGAGAAGATGATCTAAAGGCTCAATGTCAAGGGTGTGCCCATCCAAATCCAAGATATCATTTTCACTAATCAAATAAATGAGCAAAGAAATAGAGGATGCTATGGATGCGGCGAGTTGGGGCACTTTGTGAAAGTTTACCCAAACAAGCCCACACCCAAGACAAAGAAGAAGACATGTAAGAACCAAGCCCTCACATCAATAAGGTCATGGGACGATTCTTCAAGTGAAGAAGAACACCATCACAAGAGGCCAGGGCGCAAGCACTCATCATCAAGCTCTTCTCGTATATGCCTTATGGCACGAGGTAACGAAGGCTCATCCTTTAGTGAGAGTGATAGTGATGATGAAATGCCTTCTTATGATAAAATTGTGCAACAAAATCTTAATTATGCTAAAATTTGCACTAGTCAACAAAAGAAGCTCGAAAAATTAAAAGGGAAGCTAGATAGTTTACAAGAAGTATATAAAACTTTGCTCGAACAATATGAGAACTTTGCTAATCTCAATGTTGAACTATCTTCTAAAATTGAGCAACTTAAGGCTAGTGCAACAACAAATGCATGCACAATTAATGATGAGCAACTTGTGAAGAAAAATGAAAAATTAAAAGAAAAGTTAGCTAGCTCACAAGATGCTTATAAAAGTTTGCTTGCTAAAATGGAAACCATGTGCAAACATTGTGATGAGCTAACTAACAAAGTTGCTAAGCTTGAAGCCGTTAGTATAACCCCCACCAAGGCATTTAAAAAGAAAAGTTCTATCTTTAACATATCTAAAAAGGATGCCTCTATTTCTTGTAATGATTTATGTTTAGACTCATCTTTGTGCAACCAAGTTTGTATTGAGAAAGTTATTGTAGATACATGCACATAAGAGATTACAAAGGAGAATAAGCAACTCAAGCAAGAAGTAGCTCGCCTCACCAAGGACTTGACTCAAGTGAAAGGCAAGACGAAGCAAGCCCAACTTCATTAAGATAACACCGTCAAGGGAGTGAAGAAGCTTGATGAAGGACAAACCATGGTTTGCTACGTGTGCCACAAGGAAGGTCACAAGTCCTATGAGTGCAAGGTGAAGAATGGGGGAGGAGTAAAGAAGAAAGAGAATAAGCAAACAAGCAAGCTCTCCAACACCTACACCAACAAGGTGGACAGAAAGACCTCCACACCATATTTGTTAAAGAAGAAGAAAAATAATAAGGTGATGGCTATCAAGGTGAACAAGCAAGTCAACAATGGAGTCAAACGCTTTTGGGTGCCAAAGAAAATCATTTTCAACATGAAGAGCACCAAGAATGTTTGGATCCCGAAAGACAAGTGAGAAGTCTAATGGATTTTGGAGAATTTGGAAACTTGGCAAAGTATGGGTGCATTTCATGGGGTGCATCATGATGGACAAAGATCATTACCAAGTGGGTTAGTGAATACTATGGACCCAAATTCCCCTACCCATGTTAGGTAACTAGATGTTATTACTTTCAATTGGTACTTCCTTTCAAGTGGTATTTCTTATAAATTGGCATCTTAAAGCGTCTAATTATTTTTCATGCCTATGTTTGCATTTGCATGCTTATATCTTTTGTCATGCATACACTAGGTATATCTTATGGTAGGCTTACTCGGTTTTATTCTTAACCCTTAGAGCAAACCTACATGGTTTAAAATTGTTTAGGAGCACGGCACATAGCTTGTCTTTTGAATGTTCATCTAATATGTGCCAAAGTCCAAATTGTAGATAATTTCTCCCGAATATCATCTTTGAAAA